AAACTTGTCGCCTCGAATATATTCAGTGGTTTCCAGAATTCGTTGGCTTATAATATGAAGACCCTCCCCCCGCCATTCTCATATATCTAGGCGCATTTGACATACATCCAGAGTGGTGTGCACAGGTCTGCCAGCGTCATCTGCGGTTTCTCTAAGCACACCAACAACCGATGGATTTCCGCTCGATCTGTCCAACTAATGGAAGACTGCCGGACAATTCCTGCCGATGTGGGGTATAATTCATTGCGCAGAACTACCAACGCTGAGCTTAAACAGCTCCTCAGGGAAGATCGCAAAGCCTGGTGGACGCGACGTGTCGTTGAGATGGAACATGCTGCATCCTAGGGGAATTTCCGCAGACTCTCCTCTCTTATCCGATCTACCGGTGACAAGAAACCAACTGTAAGCGAAGTGGTATGTGAAACCAGTGATGAATCAATACACAATCACCAGCGCCGGTTTGTACGTTGGGCAGAGCACTTGGAATGACAGTCCAATTGGCTACCATTGCTATTGAGTTAGTATTTTTGTACCCATGGTGTTCCCTGGTGTGTAAGCACCTTTCTGCCATCTGAGGCCAAGCTTGCCTGGGAGCTTCGTCTTCTGAAGTGTCACAAATCTGCCGGTCTCGACGAAGTGTCTCCAGCTGTTCTCAAGGGTAGATGCTTGTAACCCTCTTCTGATTAATCTGACCTACTTCAAGGGAGTTGAACCACAGATGTCATGCCATTTGATTAAAAAACGAACATCGTGACTGTATGTAAACATGGTGACCGAACAGAGTACGCCAACTAGCGACGGATCAGTCTCCTATGCACTGCGACCAAAACAAACAGTACGTTTTTTAAATCAGGCTGGACGCTTTGTAGATCGTACTTGACACTGTTTATTTTAAGCAGAAAATCAGCATTTATTAACAATTAACGAGGAGCAAGAGGAGGAGAGCCACAAAACAGTCAGCCTAATGTTTACCCGAATTGTGCAAACAGCGAGCGCGAGTGCAAGCCCTCAATCATGAGCACGACTCCTCTCGATCAAAGGTGGTGACAAAGTTTCCCCTTTCTCCTTATCGGCCTTGGCGTATTTTATGCATGTGTGTGCGTATCTGTGCAGTTGCGCGGCTATCAGAAGAGTTCAGGCTGTTATGACTCCACCATACCCTACCTAGCTTTTCTGGCTTACTGCTTCAAGAAACGAACAAAATGAGCGACATACGACAAGAAGACGCATCTCCGAGGCTGCAACGGTGCAATCGAACGTCAGCGATGCATAAAGAGATCCTTAACAAACTTGTTTTTGTCGACGGCAATAGGAATCACGAAGCTGCCGTAGTCGCCCACGTCGGCGAGATTACCGCAAGAAACGTCATCAATGTGTGTATGCGAGAAGGCGCCGTTAGGCAGCGTAACTGTGCAGGAAATAACGAACATGATCTGAATGCCGATATCTTGCAGCGCATAAGAGAGGCCGTGGAATCACACTCGAGGCACTTCGGTGGGGGTACAGCAATGGCTGAAAGAGAACAACAGCCACATTTCCGTATCTACAGTTTTCAATGCCATCAGAAGACTTAAGATCAGGCTCAAAAAGTGCCACTACGAGTTAAAGCACGCCAACAGTGCCACGACAATAGAAAGCCGATAGCCTTACGCTCTCGAATTATCAGTAAACACACTGTGTGACAAAGTGAAGTGCATCTTCATAAGCTAAAGCGAGCTCAACCTCCATCTGCTGCGGTCGCAGGCTCGCTCAAGAAGAGGGACGCGTGCGAAAGTCCTCTTGCACACAGTCAGAGGTCGCATGGCGATGCTAATTGTGGCAATGAATAATCAACGTATCGTTCACTCAGAATCATCAATAATGGCACTTGCAATAGTGCAACGTTCTCGATATTCGTCGAAAAGCTGGTGAGGCACATACGCTGTAGACGAGAGGAACGGTACCTTGCTGATCATGGACAACGCCAGAATCCACATGCCGAACGATCTAAGGAAGATCCTAGACCAGCAGAAATCGTGTTTTCGAAGTGTGTACAAGGCGCTTGCTGACAAACCCAAAGCTTGGCCAAACGCCAAGTGCGGCCATCCAAAATAGCTTTTAAATGGTAACGTAACAGGATTGCACTAGTGAGATCACCTCTGCACATTGGTTAGACTGCATTGCTTACGTGAACAAGATGAATAGTTTCTCATAATGAACCGCCAATGTGTGAGCACATTATCTGTGTTTATGTGAGCTGGTTCAGGAGTGTGTTAGCATATAAAGGCGCATTTAAAGTGAAGGTAGAGCATGATGACTCAGCGTCTTCAGATCAGTGAATTTTGTGGCAGCTATATGAATGACCTGAGTTCTTATCGTAGTCTAACAGATTTTGATAAGTTCACGACTAACACCCATAAAACTAGGGAAAATTTGCCTTGATAGAGTTACGCAATCGAGTGCCAATATCAGAAGGCAAATGAGGTCGAACACGGAGGACTATATTCGAGAGGTTACAAGAAGACGTGGACGGATGAAGCGAACGTCAGCGCAGGAACTTGTATGGAGCGGAACTCGGGTATTGGTTGCGACGATGACACGTAACAGCAATTATAGATATCGATTAATCAGAAGCACCAGTTGCTGGACCCAACGTATATTGCGAAGACCAGCAAGGAACTGAGATCAGATTACTAGGAACACAGAGCAAGTTATCGCACGACTCACGGTGAAATCGAAGTGAACGGGGAGTAAAATCAGTAAAACAAATAGGAAGACACATAAAACAACAAAATCCAAGGTCGTAAACTACGGTAAGTATGAATGTTTCACGTTCACTACACTCAGTTGGCCGCTGAGTGATGAGCCGCATTTAGATAAACATGACTTTAGGGTAGGGGCAGTACTACGACAACGAACACTGTACAGTCGATCAGTAATAAAAGCGAATATGCGAGATAAGAATTTTCTTCTGGGATACTACAGTTGCGTCCAAAAGCCTGAACAAATGAAGCGTTCTGTGTCGAGAATGGTGAGTTGAAGTTCATATAACAAAACCATGCAGGGTAAAAATGAATGCGAATCTTCGTACCAAATGCGGTTAGTCGGAACTCTAGGTCCGCTGTGCTGTTTGAATCATATGATTTCACTACTTGGAGAACGGGATGCATCAGTGAGCCGGCGGAGCAAACTTATCGGACCACAAAAAATGCTAACAGAACCCCAGTCTCCGCTGCCGTCAAGCGGAGCGCTTGGAAGTAGTCTCTTTACCCGGCGCATCCTGTCCCACATCTAAATGACCTACGACCCGTCCCACCCAAAGAACGTCCAGCCTTCTGGTTTGATTCATTGTTGACTGCGGCGACTCCCGAACGCACTGCTTGTGAGAGCCAGTCGATCTGGTCGTCATAGCAGGTTTGGCTGTATTTGTCTATCTATTGTTCGTGTTAGCCATCCTGATTTACTTTGATCCTGTAATTTATTTCCACGCCAAAACGTTACATAACCACCAGCAACACGGCTAACTGTCAACGGCGTTCGCATCACAACTGATCTTCGACGGTGTGTCCAAATTTTCCCATTTTTTATCTTTGTCGTAAATTCTGAGTCCAAGGATGCATGCATTGAAGTGCCACATGGTGGTAAATTGATTAATGTATATTGCGTAGACAAAAATATGCAATCGTTTGTAAGCACAGAACGGCATAGTTAACCCAAGACAAACATCATTTATGCATGAGAACCGCACTTTAAAATTGAGAAATGATATCCCAAGAGTATCAACCATATGCTAATCTCCTGATCCTTAATAGTGAGGAGCAGGAGACGTTTAGTCGATTCATCTAGGCAGCTAAATGTGAGAAGATGACCGTACGACATCTGAATTTAGTTAAGTATTGCAACTGTCAGATACACACAGTTATGAACCTGTGGCATTTGTATCACCGGAAACAGATGTGCTTTGGTCTGAAACACCGCTTATACACAGCCAGGGTGAACCATCGTTATTCATGAGAGAGCGAGAGTAAATAAAGGATTATAAAAATAAGGTGTCAGTTGTACGCCGTAACGGCGCTTCGCTGCCGCGCGACCACTACCAGTCGTGCGCGGGCTGAGTATGCCGCGAAGACACTCACCCATACGGGAATTCGAACCGCGGACCTTATAGTTGCAAACCAGGCGCGCAGATTACTCGGCCACCGGCCGAGAGTGAGATTAGGCGTTTAAGGTCTGAAGCTCGTTATAGCCTTTGTACGTCTTTTTTATGAAGCATTGCTTGTGTCGGATGGCATCGCCGCGTACAGGATGATAATGTGTGCAGGCGAATACTAGGCGGTGATGCACAAGTTAATTCACTTAAACAAAGTATCAAGCTGCGTTGGTTTGGGCACGCGACATGTGCGCGGCATATCACCTACCGAAGAGGTATTTGCTTTGTATGCCTGTTGTCGAGTCATTTAAGACTCAAGGGGGACAAAGTTCACATGGCAGCGAAAGATGGAGACAGTGACGACTAGACGGGGTGTTGTTGACCCCTCCTAGCTTCCTAGCCGGAGTCCAAGCGACCCACCATCCGTTTAACTCGAGACTTCACAGCGCATGGCTTGCGGCCGGCACCAATGGCAAGTTTGCTCTCGTCATCTAGTCGGATTGCCTGTTTAAAGTGTGTCTAATGATGAGTTGTTTGTAGAGTAGGGTGCAATATGATGCGGGGCAGTGAAAGGCACGAGGAAGCTATCTCGTTGATGCCACTACTTTAGCAAGATAACCAGTTTTTCGTATGCGTTGTGGATAAAGTGTAGACTACTTGATCCTTAATGTTTTCCTAGGATGTTTACACTTTATTCCAATTCTCATACTCCTATTATTTTCCATTCAATAGATCGCCTTGTTTGCATGACAGAGTAGCAGAGGATTCAAATTACCGAGATTTACTGCTTCTGATGTTGTTAATGCATTTTATAACGTTTGTTACAGAAAAAGGATCTTTTATTATTTCAGCTGTTTTTGTCTTGTCACAGCATCCGAAAGCGAAAGCATATACCACCACAATAATAGCGAACGATCAGGGACACTTACTTCCGGGACAAAAAACTAAGCCTGGCGATTGCCCCTGGGGATCTTATGTCGGAACATGGGACTTACCTTGTCACTTATATGGCAATGCCATTGATAATCCATGCGCGCGCTCTAAAGAAGCCATGGAGTTACTACAAAAGAAAAAAGAACGTGTGATAGCATCCATCAATCTGGCGAAGGGAAACAAAAGCAGAATAGTACAAGAGAGGGTATGTTTTCCACATTTTACTGTTAGCTTCTATAAAAGCAAAAAAGTAAACTGATAAAAAGACGTAAAACAGGTGAAACCATATTGCTTATTAAGTCGAAGTGAAAAGTGTTTCACTTCTTAAAGTAATAATTAGACGCGTCTTCTTTTCAATTCTATTAAATTGTAGTTTCGCGACGTTTTTGAATTCGCAATCCTATTTGAAACGCCATCCCCAAGCAATCGTTCCTTTGAGTGTAACTAATCACAATGCTTTCGGGTATTACACACACACACACACACAACCATTTATATGCATGTGGCTGGCATGAGAACTACGAATGCTACAGTTGATTAGTCGGACTGAAGTTCAAGTTTAACGGTGCATTTCGGACAGACGAGGAAGTCAATGATAATAGTTATCTGAGCGCAGTGGCCTTGCATTGCGTTGGTGTCATCGTCTTACGACACCTATAACATTGGTACTAACAGACATCCGATAACAGGTACAAACATACATCTTGGCCTCTCTATGGAGAAAACGGAGAGTGAAAAGATGATAGACTAGCTGGATTACTGTAAACGATTGACAGAGAAGTTCAGCCTAGTGGACAATCGGTGCTAGTCTGCTAGTACATGCTCCCTCTGGAACTGATAGTAGATGCATGGGGTAATGAAAATTTGCACTGTAAATCTTGGAACCAGTATACCAGATTTTAGGAGCATACACGTCCCTGTAATCACCATTTTAACAAATGCAACCAACAAATGTAATTTATTTTTATAGCAACGTTTTCATGCATTCCTTGTTGTGCTCGGTAGCACACGAAATGCCTAAATTCGCAGCAAGTAGAGTTCTCATGAAACATTCACTTTTCAGTTTGACGAAGCATTGAAACGGCGAACTCCAACACCTGAGAACCGAGAAGAATGATGACACAGGAGTGTCGTGAAATCTTCTTATTTTCTGCTTCCTTTAATCTATCTGTTTACTTGACAGACTTTATAAAACCGAAATCTCTCCAGATTCCGCTCTCTAAGTTATTCTGTATTTTCCTTGTCATTATTTAAAAGAATTTTTTTCATAATGCTTACTTTTCTTACGGAGGTCAGTAAAAGTTTATTGTAGTACTAGTGGGAAACAGATAGCTTGATATAGGTCAGTTCAGCAAGTGAAAAATGCCAGTTAGCGCAAGCCAAACGTGTGGTTAGCTATTCCGGATAGCTTAAGCTCCAATACGCACCTTATGTAAGGCTGTTTAAAAGTAGGACGTAAACTGAAGTCGACGAAAGTGAAGACCGGTGAAGTAGTTTAAGCTACCTTAAAGAAATAAGTTCCACAACTTATCCCAGGTAGAGTACACTTTGCTGGTAAACCTGATGTCATTGTCCTGTGAATTCAATGTGGCTCTGTTCACGCCTGTTATAATGGTGTATAACGACGAACCAAAAAGACAGATGTGAAGTTACCATTACCATTCTCACGCATGTCACGGTGTAGACGGGCGGGATGACGCCCGTTACTTAGACGGCAATACGAGCAGTTCTTAAGAGATTCCTCGTGATAGCAATGTGTTAAGATAGCTAGATGGGATCCTTGTAAAGAAGCGATATCGCAGGCTGAACCAAGCAATTGAACGTCATCATACCATTTGAAAAACAGTAAGAACACCGAGGTCAGACATGTTTCAAAGCCCATTTGACGGGGCGAAAAAACCAGTGCGTGTCACGCGCGCCGGTTGTATAATTTTGTGCTCTCTAGCAACTTACATGTATCCCTTCCAATTTTGCCACATATTCTGAAATATGCCCAATCGATGATGATCGCCGAGTTCTATACAACTCTATCTACCTTTTGAAGTAAGTCCGACGACATGATAGTACACCACAAACGACATCGCTGGCATTTTATTCGCTAAAACCCACACGTGCAACCTTGCTTCTTTTGAGTTCTCTCAGTGACTGATACGGCACGACAGTCCTTTTATGCTCAACAGACAATAGATAACTTAGCACTGTGCATCTTAGTTACAAGCTATTTTGTCGTCTGAGGTTTAAGACTGCATTCTTTCATGCGTCTTACAGCCCGAAGACTGTGTGATTTCGTCCACTCGTGCGCCGACTGACGCACGACTACTAAACCCGCTAACACGACAGTTCCCGCTGACCGGGATAGATAATAGACGCAGCCCAAACGGTATGTCCAGCGTGTTCTAAAAGCATGTACGAACCACTGATCCACTGGTCGGAGAAGTTTGTCAGCGGAATTCCAGTGAGAACAAACCCAAGGTCAATCGGCTCTCAGACAAGCAGGCTACCGAGGTAATCTCGGGAATCGCGTGCTCGTTCTGTGTCAATTTCTGTGATGGAATAAAAGTGAACTGAAAATATAACGGAAAATACAGCACATCGAGGAATAATTTGTGATTCCGTAACTATGTATAGATAACCCCATAGTTGGGATTATTCAGGCTCTTACTGCGAGATGTGAAACGTTGGTTGCTACGTTGGCAGAGCAAAAGGAACTGGTCTCGGCCTTGTGGATGAAAATCGCTGAACTCGAATTGCATGTTAGTGTAATAGATAGCTCCAATTCTGGGTCTTTTAAAAGACAAAAACTACCTAGCAAAGCTACAGTCCGGCGAAAAATGAACACCATTCCTGACAAACAGCAATGACGACACGCCGGTTAAACGGTCTCGTAAGTCTCATGAAATGCCGCAGGGAATGAAGAGTTATACACACACTGCGTGGATAACTGGAACCGTCGATCGAAGACTTGTCGATGTGTCGATCGAGGAAAGTTTCAAGCGGCTTTTGGACACCAGGACCGTACTGTTTGACTGCGACTGCTCCGGCTTCCCGAGGACAACCAGGTCGCGACGACATGTGTTCCTAGTGCTGAATTAGAGGTGATGGGGCTAACATAGGACCTCCATTATTGGCTGGGCAACAACACTCAATCCCGAAGGACAGTGCGACTAAAGGCGTTGCACATAAGCATTCTTACTGTAGCTTTGGCCTGTCTTCCACACAAGACAAGACTAACACTGCCATACGACAAATCTCCGCGCACAAGAAACCGCAGAAAAAGCAGTTACTACGCAACCAAAAGGCGATGACAGTGATATGTTCAAACGTCACAGAGCACTCTAGCGAATCGCTAAAAGGTAGACAAGCCGAGGAGCAAAACCGCTGTGCTGAAATAAGCTGCGTACTCGGAATGGAATTACTTCCAACTAGTTTCACAGGCTTCTCAGGAAATCCATCACCTCCGCAAGTAGGGGAACCTCAGTTACTGCGCGTAACATTGCACAACACGTGCGACGTGGAGGATATTCTCTTAGAAAGCCACATTCTTGGGAACTCTTCTGTTAGTGCCCGCATTTATCCTGAGAAGTCATGGGTAGAAAGAGGGGAGCAGAAATCCGAACAGAATGTGTGACATAAAAATGAGATAAAAAAAAATGGTGCTGGTTCAGAGTGTGCCACAATTGTAGCATGATGATAACAGTGAAAACATAACACGACATTAAGGAGTGGGGGTACATCACAGAGCTTTATAAAGTCCAAAACGTCATTGCTCTTCATATCACCCTTTAGGAACCTTCCAAAAGTACCACGGTAGCAGGTCAAAACTTCTGAAAGTTACCTTGGCTACATCTGGGATGGTATCAATGGTCATTCAAGTGCGGTATGACAACAGAAGATAGGGGATACCACAAGTACGACTAAGACCATGTCTTCAAGAAGTATAGACCCAAGGTGCAGATGAACAAGACTCGGTTGCTCCAACCTCAGTTCAGCCAACCGTGTAAACACCCGCATAAAAAACGCCAGCAGTCCGATACTAATTGTGCTCGTCAAACACAGCTAACCCAGTTTTTAATGCTTCAACGAATACAACACTGCTACACCAACGCTCAAGGGCTGTACTCTAAACTGCCGTAATTGCGCCATCAACATGAAACTTGGCTCTTAAACGAGATATTAGGTCCGGAAATTGTGGGTCATTCGGAATGATCGTCCATCTCGCGGTGGCGGTGTTGCTATGTAGCATCGAGATTACTTGAAATGTGAGGTCCACACCGAGCATTCTCCTGTTGTTTTCGATGTATCATTTTGCTGACCGCAGCTAACAGGTCGAGATGATGGATCTCAGATGAGGACACGTAATTCTTGCCTCGTAGCAGTTATCTACAGACCCCGAGCTCCTCCACAGACAACGATGATACTTAATTAAACGCCCTCCACTATGTGGTCCCCAAAAGGTACTCGCACTACCTTAGAACGGGAGACTTCAATTACTTTCAGTAGTATCAGTGTCCTCAGCGGGCCGGCCATACTTCAAATCAAACTGTTGAGTTTATGGATATAGCAGTTTTGTCTAGCCATGTTAATCGACCAACAATACACCGCGGTTCAAACAAGCCATCAATTCTGAACTTAATTCTGATTAAAGAATAGTTGATGGTTGAGTGCATTTTATATGACCCTCCGCAGGTAGTAGCGACCGCCCAATTCTAACATTTGGCTTTGTTATGTCAGTGTTGTTGACAAAGAACGAGAAATTCGACGAGCTATTACTGGCCGTTCCAAGCTTCACAACCCAGCGACCACCGTTGACTGGAAACTTCAGTTGTACAGTTCAGCGAACGACGAATGGAATGAATTGAAGGGTAATAGTAACAGTCATCCAAGCAGCCATTACATGTATCGCACCGGACTGACACCTGGATCCGAAGAACAATTCGTAAATGGGTCAACAGAAGAGACCAGATTTGGTGACAACATGTGCTAGGCCCATGTAATACCATACGTAAGAATTCAAAACGATCTTAAACTACTGCACCTCATTCATTAGCGCTGACAGGTATAAATGGCAGCAGATCACTGCACTCAATTTTACGAGTAACGCCAAACTCCTTTGCGGGCATGTGAATGACAAAAGAAAGGTTAAGACTGAAAAACCACCACTCAAGACGACCAGCGGCCTAACGATTACTGCTGTGGATATCGCTAGCGTACTACTCCTGCAGTGTGGCCCAGCGCTACCAGCACCATGGACTCTTCGATTATCACTTCCTAGTAAATGTCGCTGGCTTATCTAGCATCATCTCTACCATAGCAGCTTCCATAAGCAAATTACAGTGTCTCCGTGAAAATGTGCTCCGGAAATAGACAGGATCTGTCCAAATGTTCTCAAAAGCTATAACACACCACAGCAGTGCAGCTTTTTTCTGGTGTCTACTTGATTCCAATACAGCCCAATCGATGGAAACACGGAATCCTCACGCCGATATACAAAGGTAAGCGGTCGGATTCTACTAACTGCCCACTACCCTCCTTCCTGTTTTATCAAAAGTAGTGGAATCGATTATCACAGACGAACTGATGCAATATTTTGAAAGTCTGCAAGTCATTTCTAATCTCCAATATGTTTTCAGACGCAGACGGTCTTGTATCACTAAACTGCTTCTTGTTCGAGACTCATGGATCAGGGCGGCTGACGAAGGAGTCCCCTTAGATGTGATTGACTTAGACTTTTCTAAGGCATTCGACAGAGTCAATCACTCACTTCTTCTGTGGCTAGTAGTCCGAATGATTTGGAAAAGCTTGTGAAAATTAACTGCTTCCTACCCTCCGCCCATATCCCCTCGCACTTGTCTAATCCGTGAGTTATTGTGTTAACGTCCGTTCCTATCTCGCTTCATCCGGCCATGTATTTTTGTAGTCTCACGAATATAGTCCACTGTATCCAAGTTCGGTAACTTTCTGATATCCGAGCTCGATTACGCGCAACGTCTCGGACTAGTATTTACTAGTCCCATACTTTTCGTACCAGGCAAATCCAGGAATAGTCCGTTTGGCTGTTACGATTTTTCGCGAATAAGCCACGGCCAACTCTGCGCCGATGGTTTTACCTCGATTTGTAACGAAACATCTCCAACCAAGTTTGTAAGCTCGGCGAACATAGGAACAGCTGAATGGTTTCATAATTCTTTGTATTACTGTCCAAATGAGTATTCTGATGGTAAGCAGATGCACAGAGTCCGTTCTCGCATTACCGAATAACGAAGAAGAACAGT